TTAGGCTTAATTTCCAACACACCATATTCCATTAATATCCAGTTCCTTTCTCTTCTTGTTTACCAGTTATAATCTTAACACAATCCTTGGGTGGATTCAATAGACCTTTTTGTTTGGACTAATTCAGTCTTCCCGTCTTTAACCACTGGTTGTTGTTTATAAGCAATTTTATGTAACAGGCCAAGCTGGACTTATCATAGACTTTTGTTACTTTGGACAATTTAGAGTACAGGCCTCTGCACAACACCGGTCAGGCTTCCATTAAAAGTTTCTATGGCATTGACACAGTCCTATGAAACTGTTTGATTCTGTAGAATCAGCATTTTCTGACAGAAGCCTAATTCTGTTAAAAAAATTTCAACCAACTCTGCGTTTAACCCAACTTCTCAGTCTGGACACGTCCCTGAGATATAATCAGATAGACTATCCCAATATAAAAAAGTGGAGATGTTCTCAACTGAAACTACTCCATAGTTATCTGTTTTAGCAGCAACATCAACAAACCTCTGCAGCATCCTCAACAAAAGACTAACACAGTGTCCCACCAACCACAATATAATCCATGAAAGCCAAACTAGTTTCCACCTGAAGAAATGAACCACAAATCACAGATGCTCATTAACAAAAGTGTCAGAAGTAAAAAAAGGGAAAATATTTACTTGCTTCATGGACTTTAAAAAAGCTTTTGATTTAATCGTAGTCTAAACCCAGAAAGGAGAGACTGCACCGCCATCAAAATAGAGGAGAAACTGAGACAGACAGACACTTTCTACACCAACGTCCCAAATACAAGAAGCATGAGAGAGATTTCCCCAAAGAATCAAAAATTGTAAAATATGTAATCAAAGATCAACTGGCAGACATAGCATCACACTATGTAGCAACTTGCCACTGGATCAGGAATGGACAGTAATGATAAATGGGTACAGTGAAGAAAACCCCAAATTTCCTCTATTCTGGATAGGTCATACCAAATCCTTACAGACACCTGAGTGGTCCTATCTTTTTTTTTTTTAAACGCTTTAGCAACACTTATATAACTTACCATGCCAATAATGTCTCATTGAATTGATAACCTATGAAAAGTCATACCTGAATATCATTCTACGGTAACTAGTCACAGGCAGAACAAAAAGATGGAACTAGACCTTGGATTAGCAATAACTTTGATGCATTACTGGCCACTTGGCTCAAAGATGACTCACGAATATCAAGCATATTCCCAGTCTCCAGGTGCCAGTGCTGTAATAATAATAGTAAAACAGGTGCTGTCCAAAATGGAGCTTTTCATTGGCAAAGGGAGATTCTAAATTACTTTGCCATACCTGGCCAATAAGAAATGCCATGCTATATAACACTTTAAAACTATATATTGAATAGTTGGAATAACAATGTATAAAAAATCTTTTCCCTCCACTATTCATCATTCACTGATTTAAAGCTTGTTTCCGTATTCAAGAATAGCATTAAATAATTAAAGCAAACTAGCCCCAGCTCAGGGCTGGATACAATTCAGTCCAAGGCAGACTGTAGTGTCCAACCCACTTTCCACCAGTATGAATTCCCTTTAAGATTTTATTATTTAGAACTGGTGCAGTACTGTGAAGAGACCCAATCAGCAACTGTCTGGGCCTGCTCTGTTCATAGAGTGGGTGGAACAAAGTTCTTCAGAGAAAAGAAAAATATGCTCTGCCTACAGATAATCTTGGGCCAGTTCCCTAATTTCTTCTAAGTAGACCAAAAGCTTTAGTTACCTTGGTTCCCGGAATGATCTATTAGTCAACAATAGAATCCCAGTCTTTATACACAACATACTTCTATGTTTTTGATGGTAACATAAGGATAGAAAACATCTAGTTTCCTATTTTAGTTTTTTGTAGAGCCACTGTTTGGGGTGAGCTTTACTCGTCATTGTTTGGGAGGAGAGTTAGGCCCTCTTCTATAGCAATATTAGATTTTCCCCCCCCATTCCTCTCTTTTACAAGTAAATCACTGGAAACCCTTGCTCCAAGGTTTCGAATCTTAAGCAGTGAGCATTCAGCTACATTCACAGAGCAGTGCTTGCCCATAGCCCAGGCCTTACCCAGAGATTCTCCATGATGATCTGGAGAATGGAATCTTCCTTCATTTCCTTGTCCATTGGGGTCCACCAGAGCTACTTCATGACCACTACTGGAGTCTAGGGAACTCCAGATAGAACGAAAATGTGCTGTCCTCCCACCAGAGTAAGATGGTGGCTACAGTGGTACCACCACCTGCCCATCCTCAAGGAGTGAATTCTTAGTCACACATGGGTTATAAAACACAATGTATCTCCTGTGCCACAGAGGGTGAGTCAAGTCATAATTCTTTCCGTTAGGCCTGGTCTACAATGCAAAGTTAGGTCACTGTAAGTCATCTTGTATCAACTTAGTTGTGCATGTGTCTATACTCAAATTTGTCTCCTGCCAATAAAAATGCCCTATTATAGCAATGCAGTAAAACCACCTCCCTGAATGGTAGTGAGCTCTGGTCAACCTACTGTGGCTGACACAGTGTTAGTGTAGACACTGTGACTTATGTTGACACTAACAGTCCTCCAGCAGCTGTCCCAGAATGCCTGACATGGACCGCTCTGGTCATAATTGTGAACTCCACTGCCCAGGAGTCATGGAGACCAGAAGCCACCCAGCCCTTTAAAAACCCTGCATATTTTTGAAATGGCTTTTTCTAATTGCCCACTTGGTGAACACCTAGCAACTCTCTCTTGTTGCATGCAACTGCCCAACCGCATGGGCGGCCCCTCTCCTTGTGTCCAGGCCCCTGCCCCTCCTGCCCCCCCTCCCTTGGCGTGACCAGATGTCCCAATTTTATAGGGACAGTCCCAATATTTGGGGCTTTTTCTTACATAGGCTCCTATTACCCCTCACCCCCTGTACCGGTTTTTCACACTTGCCATCACTCACCCTACTCTCCCTGCCGACCTCCCCCGCAGGAGCCCAGAGCACCCTCACCACAGCCCCCGGCCCCAGCCCTGGCGCTCCCAGTGGTGCGGCCAGGCCCAGAGCAGCAGGCGGCATGGCTGCACCGCCCCCAGCCCTGAGTGCCCTGAGTCCCTGAGAGTGGCAGGGCAGTCATCCCCAGCCAGCCTGGGCCAGCCAGGGCAGAGTGCTGGGAACCACAGAAGGGGGCTTGGCCTGGGGGTGGAGCATGGGCGGGCCATGCTAGGCTGTTTGGGGAGGCAGAGCCTCCCCCTGCCTACAATACCCACCGCCATGCCCAACACACAATGCCACCTACACACTCCAGACACATTCCTGCCTGGAGTAGACAGGAAGTATGGGATCTCCTGGGCCTGTGGGTAGAAGGGGCTGTGCAGACCACGCAGTCGTAGAAACATGGACATCTACCAGCAGATTGCCTGGGCGATGCAGGTGAAGAGGTATGACAGGGATCAGCAGCAGTGCTGCGTGAAAGTGAAGGAAATGCGGCAGGCAAATCAGAATGCCAAGGTGACAAATAGTTGATCTGGTGCTGAGTCACAGTCCTGCCACTTTTACTACGAGATGCAGGCCATACTTGGTAGAGACCACACCAACACCTTGCAGTTCACTCTGAGAAGCCCGAGGACTCTGCTGTGAACAGTGAAGAGGAGGAGGATGGGGACATACAATTTGGGGTTCCAGCTTTGCTGCAAGCCAGGATCTGTTCGAGATTCCATCCCAGTCCAGTCAGCCCTGGTAGCTGAGCTCGGGTAAGCCTGATGCAGGGGAAGGAGCCTTTGGTAAGTGTGTGAATGCATTTCACACTACTCTGTTTAAATGTACTGATGGTGCCTGACCCCAACATAACAGGACACATGTATCGACTTTTCATTAAGTTATTCTAGAAGAGATATCGGTACAACAAAGAGGTAGAGTTTTTATTGTTCCCCACTAGAGTTAGGCGGGGGAGCAGGGAGTGGGTGCGGAGCAGTTTATGTACACAGGGATGTCCCTTGAATCCTCCTGAGAGATCTCAATGAAACTTTCATGGAGGCATTGTGCTGTCCTCTCCCAAAGGTTTCTAGGGATGGCAGATTTATTCTTTCCTCTGTGGAAGGATACTTTCCCACACTGTCTACCATGACCCTGGCAGGCACCATTACAGTAAATGGGCTAAAGGTAAATGGGCCCTGGGTGGATTTGAAATGTCAGCAGCAGCTGTGCTGCTTTATTCTAGCCCATACCTGGTTTTACTACTTCCTGATATTTTCCTGATTTTAATTAATTCCTTTCTAAATGACAACATAATGGCTAGCCCTTTTAATCCTCCATAGTGACTGACATGTCTTGCCTGAGTTTCATCAAGTGGGGCTGTGATAAACCTTCCTCACACTTCAAAAGCAAAAATGAAACATCAAAAAATAAGCGTGTGACTGGTAAATACAGCCAAGTTCAGAAACAGAAAAGCAAAATATGTCTAGAGATTAGAGATAGAAAAAAAATGACATTTTTTATCAAAAATTATTCATCATTTTTTGATTTTACAAATATGTTGTCCACTCTATAAGCAGATCAACCCCCTGCAAAATAGTGTGATTTTTTCTTCTTTAAAAGTAGCGGAAAGCTCAAAAATGTAGACATGGGGGAACTGGACCTGTACTGTCAGTGACTTTTTGAGAAACGAATGGGCCCGGAGGGTCATTTAATAAGCCGTGTTGTGTTGGGCTATCTCCGATATCCAGAAGCCAGAGGAAGGGAAGTGGCTTAGTGTAGCTGGAGCTATAAAATGTGCCCCAAACTTGTAACAACAGAAAAAGCTGCAGCTAAACACTCAACTGAGCAATTAAAGGCTTGTCATTAAAAAAGGGGGCGGGGGGGGGAAGCTAAAATAAACAACAAATCCAAGCGGAAGGAGAAATCGGAGAAACTAAACTTTGCCGTGTCGCTTCTTTTTTATATCCGAGCCCTGGGGGAACGTGTCCTGCGTGCTCCCCCGGCTGTGTGCTGGCCTGAAGGAAAGGGGAGGGATGAGGGAACTGCAGGCTCGGGTTTAAGCGGAGGGGGAAGGGAGCGGGCTGCGGTATTCACCTGCTTAGCGGGTTGGCTTCCGCCTCTTCCCCGCAGACGGACTTTCGCCCTGGGATTTTCTCCCCTCCCTGTCGCTAGAGAGGCAGCCGGAGCCATGGACGGCCTCGCAGCTCCGCAGGGAGGCCTCTCGGTGTCCCAGCAGGTCCGCGCGATGTTCTATGTCCTGCAGCCCAATGAAAGCTCCTTCGCCAGCCTCGAGGAGGTGCCCGATTATGTGAATAAGGTGAGAGCATGGCGGGGAGCTCGGATAGGGACAGGAGATTTCGCTCTCCCTGTCGTCTCCCTGCCCGCCCCTCACTCCTCTGCCTCTGTGCCCCTTGCACCCCCCTGCCTGCCCCTGGCTCTGTGCCCCTTGCACCCGCTGCCTACCCCCTCTCTGCCCCTTGCACCCCTCTGCCTGCCCTTCTCTCTGTGCCCCTTGCACCTCTGCCTGCCCCTGGCTCTGTGCCCCATGCCTGGCCTTACCTGCCCCCTCTCTGCCCCTTGTACCACCTTCCTGGCCTCACCTCCCCCATCTCTGTGCCCTTTGCACCCCCATGCCTGTCCCTGGGCCTCCTGCCTCTCCTTCCATGTCCCTCTTTCTATGTTCCTTTGCCTGTGTCTGCCTCTCACACACAGCCCTTCACTCTTTTCTCTGCTTGTCCCTCTCTGCCCAGATTTCACCTGCACCTCAGTATTACCAACCTCAAGCTGTCAAAAAGGAGTCTACCTCCCTTTCCCCATTGAGTTTGCCATAAAAATCATGATATTTTAAAATGCTGCCTTTTAATTTGCCTTTTAGTTTCTGAGCCTTTAGGGTGCACTAGCTTCCTGTTTTCAAGCTTTCTGCAACCATGGGGACTAGGAACTTTTATTGTAAATGAAAGCTGAGATTTCCATGCTATCTCTCTGTACTAGCAGCTGACGTTTTAAGAGAAACCTCAAATATTGTGAAACTGGTGATAACATCACAAGGGTTGATAATCTGCTGGATATAATGGGTGAAGAATTGAAATGGATAGCTTTAATAAAAGGGGAACAGATATTATTTTCCCTTAAGGAGCTCGAGATAGTACTGTACCCTGCTTCCCAGAATATGCAGATAGATCTCTCTGCCCTGAAGAGCTTGCCACCTGACTGGGACAAAGAAGAAAGAACGTGACTATTACCAATTTAAAATAATGAAGATAGTTAAAATGAAGGCGAAAAAGAAGTTTTGGGAGAGTCAGCTCAGACTTTGTGCCAGGCACACCCCAGCTTTGGTTAACTTTCAGATGTTCTGTTCCACCCCTAGAACCAGTCAAAGACTTGCTGTACCAGATGCTAGGGATGGATTCTTTATTATTTTATTATTGTTATCTGTAATGCAGGAGCACCCAGGAGCCTCAGTTCGAATGGCGCCCCATTGTGCAAGACATTACAAATATGTAGGCCATGAATACCCTAGAAAAAGTTTACCCATATAGCTCTACCAGTAAACCCTCTTAGGGTATGTCTACACTACGAAATTAGGTCGAATTTATAGAAGCCGGTTTTATAGAAATCGGTTTTATACAGTCGATTGTGTGTGTCCCCACATAAAATGCTCTAAGTGCATTAAGTCGGCGGACCGCGTCCACAGTATCGAGGCTAGCGTCGACTTCCGGAGCGTTGCACTGTGGGTAGCTATCCCACAGTTCCCGCAGTCTCCGCCACCCATTGGAATTCTAGGTTGAGATCCCAATGCCTGATGATGCAAAAACAGTGTCGCGGGGGATTCTGGGTACATGTCGTCAGGCCCCTCCCCCTCCGTCAGAGCAACAGCAGACAATCGATTCGCGCCTTTTTACCTGGGTTACCTGTGCAGACAACATACCACGGCAAGCATGGAGCCCGCTCAGCTCAGCTCAGCTCACCGTCACCATATGTCATCTGGGTGCTGGCAGACGTGGGGCTGCATTGCTACACAGCAGCAGCTCCTTGCCTTTTGGCAGTGGATGGTGTATTACGACTGGTATCCGTCATCGTCATATTCCTCAGTGAGTTTCAATCAGAGGCACCTGGGCAGACATGTTTTGTCTCCTAGCCTATTGAACTGTCTTGATGATGATGATGTCGTAGTACAGCATTTTCTGCCAAGCACCCAGAAGATGCAGATGGCTATCAGTCATGCTGCACCGTCTGCTGCCAGCTTAAGATGTAAAAAATAGATGGACCAGATTTGTTCTGTATTCATTTGCTTCCCCCTCCCTCCGTGAAATCAACGGCCTGCTAAACCCAGGGTTTTGAGTTCAATCTTTGGGGGGGCCATTCTGTGTGACAGTTGTTTGTGTTTCTCCCTGATGCACAGCCACCTTTGTTGATTTTAATTCCCTGTAAGCCATATCGTCACTCGCCCCTCCCTTCCTCCCTCCCGCCGTCAGACAATAGTTTCGCGCCTTTTTTCAGCCCAGACGCCATAGCACTGGGATCATGGAGCCCGCTCAGATCACCGCGGCAATTATGAGCACTATGAACACCACGCGCATTGTCCTGGAGTATATGCAGAGCCAGAACATGCCAAAGCAAAACCAGGCGAGGAGGCGATTGCAGCGATTGCAGCACGGCGACGAGAGTGATGAGGAAATTGACATGGACATAGACCTCTCACAAAGTACAGGCCCCAGCAATGTGCAAATCATGGTGTTACTGGGGCAGGTTCATGGCGTGGAACGCCGATTCTGGGCCAGGAAACAAGCACAGACTGGTGGGACCGCATCGTGTTGCAGGTGTGGGACAATTCCCAGTGGCTGCGAAACTTTCGCATGCGTAAGGGCACTTTCATGGTACTTTGTGACTTGCTTTCCCCTGCCCTGACGCGCCAGAATACCAGGATGAGAGCAGCCCTCACAGTTGAGAAGCGAGTGGTGATAGCCCTGTGGAAGCTTGCAACGCCAGACAGCTACTGGTCAGTCGGGAATCAATTTGGAGTGGGCAAATCTACTGTGGGGGCTGCTGTGATCCAAGTAGCCAACGCAATCAAAGACCTGCTGATATCAAGGGTAGTGACTCTGGGAAACATGCAGGTCATAGTGGATGGCTTTGCTGCAATGGGATTCCCAAACTGTGGTGGGGCGATAGACGGAACCCATATCCCTATCTTGTCACCGGAGCACCAAGCCACCTAGTACATAAACCGCAAGGGGTACTTTTCAATGCTGCTGCAAGCCCTGGTGGATCACAAGGAACGTTTCACTAACATCAACGTGGGATGGCCGGGGAAGGTACATGATGCTTGCGTCTTCAGGAACTCTGGTCTGTTTCAAAAGATGGAGGAAGGGACTTTCTTCCCGGACCAGAAAATAACCGTTGGGGATGTTGAAATGCCTATCATTATCCTTGGGGACCCAGCCTACCCCTTAATGCCATGGCTCATGAAGCCGTACACAGGCAGCCTGGACAGGAGTCAGGACCTGTTCAACTATAGGCTGAGCAAGTGCTGAATGGTGGTGGAATGTGCATTTGGACGTTTAAAAGCGCGCTGGCGCAGTTTACTGACTCGGATAGACCTCAGCGAAGCCAATATTCCAATTGTTATTGCTGCTTGCTGTGCGCTCCACAATATCTGTGAGAGTAAGGGGGAGACATTTATGGCAGGGTGGGAGGTTGAGGCAAATCGCCTGGCCGCTGATTACGCGCAACCAGACACCAGGGTGGTTAGAAGAATACAGCGGGGCACAGTGCGCATCAGAGAAGCTTTGAAAAACGAGTTTTGTGACTGGCCAGGCTACGGTGTGAAACTTCTGTTTGTTTCTCCTTGATGAACCCTCCCACCACCCCCCCGGTTCACTCTACTTCCCTGTAAGCTAACGACCCTCCCCTCCCCCCTTCGAGCACCGCTTGCAGAGGCAATAAAGTCATTGTTACTTCACATTCATGCATTCTTTATTAATTCATCACACAACTAGGGGGATAACTGCCAAGGTAGCCCGGGAGGGGTGGGGGAGGTGGGAAGCGCCGGTTGAGGTGGGGGAGGAGGGAAGGACAAGGACACACTGCAGTTTAAAACTTTAAAACTTTAACTCTTATTGAAGGCCAGCCTTCTGATGCTTGGGCAATCATCTGGGGTGGAGTGGCTGGGTGGCCGGAGGCGCCCCCACCGCGTTCTTGGGCATCTGGGTGAGGAGGCTATGGAACTTGGGGAGGAGGGCTGTTGGTTACACAGGGGCTGTAGTGGCAGTCTCTGCTCCTGCTGCCTTTCCTGCAGCTCAACCATACGCTGGAGCATATCAGTTTGATGCTTCAGCAGCCGGAGCATCGACTCTTGCATTCTGTCAGCAAGCTGACGCCACCTATCCTCTTCAGCCCGTCACTTGCTCTCTCCAGCCCGCAATTCAGCCCGCCACCTCTCCTCTCGTTCATATTGTGCTTTTTTGCACTCTGACATTGACTGCCTTCATGCATTCTGCTGTGCTCTGTCAGCGTGGGAGGACATCTGGAGCTCCGAGAACATATCATCCCGTGTCCGCCATTTTCTCTTTCTAATCTTCACTAGCCTCTGTGAAGGAGAAACATTTGCAGCTGGTGGAGGAGAAGGGAGAGGCGGTTAAAAAAGACACATTTTAGAGAACAATGGGTACACTCTTTCACGTTACATTTTGCTGTTCATGTAACGAAAGCACATGTGCTGTGTAATAAGGTCTCATTTTTCCTCTTATATAGAGGGCCTGCCGGTTTGGTGTGAGAGATCACTCACGCAGTGCCAGGCAACAGATTTCGGCTTGCAGGCAGCCATGGTAAGCCACAGTCTTTTGGCTTTTTTAACCTTCTTAACGTGGGAATGGTTTCAAACAGTAGCGCCCTCATTTCCCATACCAAGCACCCGTTGGGTTGGCCATTTAAAATGGGTTTGCAATGTAAAAGAAGGGGCTGCGGTTTCCGGGTTAACATGCAGCACAAACCCAACTACCCACCCCCCCACACACACCCAATTCTCTGGGATGATCCCTTCACCCCTACCCCCCACCGCGTGGCTAACAGCGGGGAACTTTTCTGTTCAGCCGAGCAGGAAGGGGCACCTCTGAATAAGATGTCCCCTTAATAAAATCACCCCATTTCAACCAGGTGACCGTGAATGATATCACTCTCCTGAGGATAACAAAGGGAGATAAGGAATGGATGTTGTCTGCATGCCAGCAAACACCGGGACCATACGCTGCCATGCTTTGTTATGCAATGATTCCAGACTACGTGCTACTGGCCTGGCGTGGTAAAGTGTCCTACCAT